GAGAGAGAGTGTGTGTGTGTGTGTGTGAGTGAGTGTGTGCGTGTGTGAGTGTTTGTTTGTGTGTGTGCGTGTGCGTGAGAGAGTGTGTGTGTGTGTGTGTATGTGAGTGTGTAGTGATTTGTAATACAGCTGATTCGGCCTCAGAGCATCCATCATTTCATGACAGATTGTGGCAGCGCATCTCAATAGACTTGTGTGTGACCCTGTGCTGTTGCCTGTTTTCACCAGGAGAGGGAAGTCTTAGCATTTGGTTTCACAATTAGTGGCCAGAAATGAGTTGGGTTGCTTGTGATTACTGAAAGTGATGCATAGTTACTCCACATATTATAAAGCATTCTTAAATGATGCCCCCAAATTAGTTATGTTTTGGTTTATTTTCTAAATGTATTCATAGTAAAACTCACACAATTACATTTGGGGCCCGAATGAGGCTCATTGAAAAAGTTTACTCCCTGTTGAAATAACAGCCTAAGGTGGCAAAGACGACAAGTGTCCCAAAACCGTCTAAAACCATCAAAACAGACCAGACGTAACAGCTTGGCCCGGCTGGTGTACTAGTTAACCACCGCAGGCTGTTATTTCAGCAGGGCTGCCGTGATTGTGAACAGATTTCAGTCTTTTTAATGGGTTTTGCAATCAGTTTGTCACTCAATATTATCTTAAAGGTTTCTAATTAAAGAAAATGAAAAGAATCTCACAAAATATTTAAAAATTACATGATCCAAAAACAAGTCAGCTCATGGCAATTTTGGTCTTGGAAGAGTATGAGAAATGTTTGAGAACACATTGAGATTTCTGACTTCTGATTGCAGACTGATCAACACACTCTCGTGGTAGGTCATAACTACTTAATATTTCGACCAGTTGGAGGCTAAAGGCCTGCTCACACAAAGAACGATAACTATATTACCGTCCACTTCAACACACAAAAATGCTCTGTTTATCTTGTGCGCGCTGCAGTTTTATCGTCTGCCGCTTTAAATGTTTTGCGCTCTTTAAAGAAGGATGGATTCTGATTGGCTGTAAATTGTTTAATCTACAATTAGCATTCTGAAAGTGATGCTAACTGTATCTCATTGCTCTGTGATTTTCGTTATAGTTGTGGTGTGGACTTGAGATTTGGGCTATTTGATTGTTTGTTTATTTTCACATTTGAGACATTGCCATGATCTCTTCTGAAGCTTTAGAAGAGACGCGTGTCTCTCAAGTGTCTCTCTTTTTCTCTCAAGCAACGTTATTCATAACCATTTTAGGTTTTAGCGATTTTGTACAATCTTATTTGTACGTTTTCGTACAAAAATCTGCTTATGCCGCACTGACGGTTGCGTATGTTTCTGTTGAAATCACACTTTGAAAATTCATACGATATCAGTGCCTTGTAAAATAGTTACGTTTTCTCATGGGATCAAGTTAGTTTATGCAGTTTTCTTTTTGCAGTTTGAGAAATTGTCGCGATATCTTCTGAAGCTTTAGAGGAGACACATGTGAGTTATTTTCTCTCAAGAAACATTATTTGTAAATATTTGACGTTTTGGCGAATTGGTGGCCAATTTCTTTGGATTTGTACAATCTTTTTCGTACATTTTCGTACGAATCACATAGTTCACAAAACACACAGTTAGGT